CCGGGCCTTCCTCAACAGCATGCCCTTCCCCATGCGCATGCTCTTCACGTGGATGACCTGGATGGAGATGGCCTGCAACTTCGCCGACCTGGTCATCTGCCCCTCCAAGCCTATGATGAACATCCTGCGCGACATCGGCATGCGCTGCGAGGACATCTGGCCCCCGGCCGTGGACATCCAGCAGTTCAGCCCGTCCTACTATGACCATGACCTGCGCTCGAAGGTGCGTGCCTCGCCGAGGGCGCGCCGTCCACGATGCTGCTCCTCCCCAGTCAGTGGTAGGGACTAACCCAACCTCCCCTGCCTCTGCTGCCCTTTGTGCCCCTCCTTGCCCGCACGCCCGCACACGCACACACACACACACACACACACACACACACACACACACACACACACGCCTAGTTCACCTTCGGCAACCCGGACAAGCCCCTGGTCATCTACATTGGCCGTGTGGCCCCGGAGAAGAACATGGACGCCCTGAACCGCATCCTCGAGCGCTTCCCCGATGCCTACCTCGCCATCATCGGCAAGGGCCCGGATGCCCCCAAGTGGGCCCGCCTGCATGGCAAGGAGAACCGCATCTTCTGCACCAATGCCCACTACCATGGCGAGACCCTGAGCAAGGCCTTCGCCGTGGCCGATGTCTTCGTCCTCCCTTCGGAGTTCGAGACCCTGGGCAATGTGGTCCTCGAGTCCATGGCCTCCGGTGTGCCGGTGGTTGGCTGCAATGCCGGCGGCATCCCCCACATGCTCTCCAACGAGAAGACCGGCCTGCTCTTCGAGCCAGGCGACCTGGACGGCATGTGCGAGGCCGTGGGCCGGGTGCGTGCAATACCGAGGCCGAGAGCGCCGGTCGGAGGGGGAGGGGCCGAGGGGGGGCCACTCGCCAGCGCGTCCGCCCCTGGCCGGCCTCCCCCCCCCCCGCCCCCGCCCCTCGCCCTTCCCCCTGATCCACGGGCATCATGCCCCATGTGACATCCTTACTGATCCTCCTCCCCCTCCCCGCCACCCAAAGATCATCTATGATCGCGAGCTCCGTGAGCGCTTCAAGCAGGCCGGCCTCGAGTACACCTCCAACAAGAGCTGGCGCCATGCCTCCGAGTATGTGGTCGCCCTCTATGAGAAGTGCATCCGTCGCCATGGGAAGCTGGTCCCCGGGGTGAACGCCCCGCCGGAGCCGGTGTACGACGTCGGCCCCATCTTCGTGGACCCGATGATCGGCGTGGCCCCGCGCCCCGGCAGCGAGGGCGCCCGCATCGACGCCCTGGCCAGCGCCGGCACCGCGTCCACCGTGGTGGACACTCGCAGCGGCGGCCCCTTCGGCATGCGGTCCATGCTCCCCTGGCTGCTGAGTGTCATGTTCGGTGTGCTGGTCTTCGTCTTTGTCCGCTTCAACCAGGCCTCCAACAACCCGTAGGCGAGGGGCCTGCCCACCGTCGACAGCGTCCCCGCCCCCCCTCCGCCGCCGTCACACCCACCCCAGAGAGCCTGTCTTCCTCTCCCCCACCGCAATGTGCGCGCGCTGCCCGGCGTGGGTCTCCCCGCGACCGACTCGCCGTGCATCCTCCTCCTCCTCCTCCTCTCTCTCCTTGTGTTTCTCCCCCTCCCCTCTCTCTCCCTCTCTCTCTTTCTCGCCCTCCGCCCCTCGCCCTGGTTAGCTATCTCGTGGCATGTGTGTGAATGTGTGTGTATGCGTGTGACTCTCTCCCTCTCTGTCGCTGTCACCCACGCGCCATGGGCACGCGCGCCCGCCCCGCGCTTGGCCCCCGGGGGCGGGAGGCCGCCCCGGGCGGGTCTCCAGGCCGTGACCCCCGGCCGCGGTCCATCGTCACTTACGGCCCCCCCGCCCCCTCATGTTCCCCGGCGCGCCGCCCTGCCCGGGGTCATGGCCATCGGCTGGAACCCCCCTGCCGCCGCGGAGCCGCCAGCGTCGCAGACCCCATCCCCGCTCGCTGACGATCATGTATCTCCCCCTCTCCCTCTCCCTCTCCCCCTCGCCTCGCCTCGCCTCTGCCCCGGTCCCCTTCTTGCCACTGCCTGCCCCTCCCCTCTGACACCCACACCCACTCCCCGTCCACCCTCTCGCCCCTTCCCCGCGGCCGGCACGGCGGTGCTCCTGCAGTTGAGTGTGTTTGGTTTGTCGCTCGCCCGCAGCTCGCATCATGAGAGTCCTCCTCTACTCCACGGCCATCTACCCGAAGGTTGACGGCGTTGCCAACCGCGTCAAGCACCACATTCGCGCGCTGGTGGTACGCCCTCCCGCCCCCCCCTCCCCCCCCCTCCACATCCTATGCCCAGCTGACGAGAGGCACGCCATGTCCCGCGACTTGCTCGGCCTTTCCCCTCTGACACCGCCCGATGCCGGCCGCACGCCGCGCCACAGGCCCTCGGTCATCAAGTCCTGGTCCTCTGCCCGTACGACTCGGCCCCCTCGCTGTACGAGGGTGCGCAGGTCCTCCGCCTGCCGGCCTTCGTGCCGCTGGACTACGATGAGTCCCAGCTGTCGTACCCCTTCCCGCTGATGACTCTGAACCGGGTGTTCCGCGAGTTCCGCCCTGATATCATCCACTTCATCGGGCCGGAGTTTGTCCTGATCCCCTTCCTGCTGCTTTCGCGCGTACGTGCCGGCCGCGTGTGCCCCCTTGCCTTGGCCCTTCTCCGCCGCCCCCCCCCCTTCCCTCCTTCCCCCCCAGTGCGCGGGAATGGGGCCCACACACCGCTCACACACCGCTCACACACACACACACACACGCACACACACAATTGCACAGTACTACAAGGTCCCGATTCTGGTGTCCTACCACTTCTACGTCCGGGCCTTCCTCAACAGCATGCCCTTCCCCATGCGCATGCTCTTCACGTGGATGACCTGGATGGAGATGGCCTGCAACTTCGCCGACCTGGTCATCTGCCCCTCCAAGCCTATGATGAACATCCTGCGCGACATCGGCATGCGCTGCGAGGACATCTGGCCCCCGGCCGTGGACATCCAGCAGTTCAGCCCGTCCTACTATGACCATGACCTGCGCTCGAAGGTGCGTGCCTCGCCGAGGGCGCGCCGTCCACGATGCTGCTCCTCCCCAGTCAGTGGTAGGGACTAACCCAACCTCCCCTGCCTCTGCTGCCCTTTGTGCCCCTCCTTGCCCGCACGCCCGCACACGCACACACACACACACACACACACACACACACACACACACACACACACGCCTAGTTCACCTTCGGCAACCCGGACAAGCCCCTGGTCATCTACATTGG